TTAAACAGTGAGCATGTCTTAAGTTTGTGAATGGAGCAGTATGTTACCTGATAGTACAATTAAAGAGAAAAATGTCAGCAAACTGTAGTTATGTGAAAATGCATAGAGCATGCCGGGAACAGAAATGATCAGACATATATCTGATATCAAGATAACAAGGAACTATTAGAACATCAAAGTATGGAAAGTCAGATGGGGATGAACTTATGAGGAGCTTCGAAGATCATAGTTAAGGAATTTTTACTTTATTCTTTAGGCAGTAGGGTTATTGGAAATTTTAATCAAATTATAATTTTAATGTAGCATATATGGAAGGTATGTATAGGATTCCATGTGATGTATGGAAATAATGAGGTTTTTTGACCACATAGGTTAAAGAAGATATTGGCTGGGACAAAGACAGAGCATTCAGCTGTAAATGGGATTTAGAAGTAAGAGTTAAGGGACATTAATTTCATAGATATTTCAGGATTTGGTGACCAATAAAACTTCAGAAATGAACTGTGTTTTTGTGTTTCAATTTTGGATGGTGTGTGAAAGGGAAGAAAATTAGTAGAGTTTGGAAGCAGTTGAGTTTGAGATATCTGTGAAGATGCCCCAAAACTAAGTGGCAATAGATTCCAGGGCTCAGGAGAGAGGTTGGGGATGAAGATGCAAATTAGCATTGTAGGGGACATGGAACTGCTTCCAGGAATCTGTCATCTTTTCAAAAGTACAGAGTAGACCATCCCATAATTTCTACCAGTAAATTTTAAGTTCTTTCAGTTGTAAAAATTTATGTTCCAGTTTTAATCAAATTCCTCTTTTTATTCCTTTGAAAATGTTTTATAATCATCATGACATTACATGCTAATGAGAGGAAAGCATTCCAAGAACAGACAGGCATGGGCTGTCTAATTTTGTCATTATTCTTTGAGGTAGAAGACTTTTATTACTAAAGTTTTTAAAAAGTACCTCAAGGTGATCAGGTGTTGAATTTACTAATATTTCTCCACTTGCTATCTTGTTTTTACAATATTCCTGCTGCAAAAACCTCCATGCATTCTGTCATCTATTTACTTGACTAGTTTTTATTAAGCGCTTACCCTTTATTAAGTGCTTGTTTATTAAGTGCTAATACCTTTTATTAAGTGCTTCTAAATCCCATTTATAACTAGTGGCTCTGTCTTTGTCCTAGCCAATATCTTCTTTCACCTATGTGGTCAAAAAACCTCATTATTTCCATACATCAAATGGAATCCCAGAAATAATGAAACTAATTAATGCAGGTGCTGGGGGAGAAGAGAGGAAAATATGCTGGATATTTGAATGTTGAAGTGTTTAAAAAAAATCACCAACAACTACTGAAATGTAAATTTCCTCCTGATTATCTCCAAGAACTTAAAAAAAAAAAAAAAAACCAAAGCTCCTATGCAAGGAACAATGGGAAATCTATCACTGAGAACAGACAATAAGGTACCTCTTTTAGAAGTGTAACTGAGTGGAAATGATTTTTTTTTAATTAACATTTGTTAGGATTTTTGTCTAAAAGCAGGAGAGAGAAATTTGAATATTTTTATGAGGCTACTTAAAAACATTTTAAACTAAATAGCCATAAAAATGGATACTGCTTCCATGGTAACATAAGAGAATAGGAATAAAAAACAGGGAAGGTAGCACTGAGAATAAAGCCTTAAAATCTGTTCTTTTTATAAGTAAGTTAAAAATTTAAACATGTCCCTAGCATTAATCATCCTAGAAATATTAAGTTCCATCAAAGGACAAATCATAATAGGGTTTTATTTTTTTCATAATACGTATTAGAACAACAGGGGAGGCAGTTCATTTCATAAAGCTTAACAGTACCGTAGGAATTATCTTGTGTCTGGCATAAGCCACTGAATAATTATTTTATTTGTTCTTATAGAGGTAAAAAGAGAAATAATTGAGAACACAAATAGAAATAATAAGAGACTAATTAATGACAACAGACTAATATGTACTGAGAGTCAAGTATATGCCAGGCTAAGGTTAGTTGTTTTACAAATTTTCTCCAATTTTCTTTAGAGAAACAAATTGGCGGAAATTCTTTTATCTATTTTACAGGTAAAATAGTAAAGGTAAAAAATTAAGTAACTTACCATAAATTTTCCAACTACTCAGGTCAGAAAAATGCTATAAAATGATGGTCTTTTTTTTCTAAATAATTCATTTTCCTCCATTTTTATTTAATTATGAAAATAATACATACTTACTTAAAAATGTGGGTGAAAAGTAAAATTTCCTTTTCCAACTCAGATTTCTCACCAGAGGTAATTAATATTCCGGGTAGATTTCTATACATTTCTATTAGATTACATAGCATCTGTATAAATACGGATATTACATACACTATATAGAACAAAATGTTCATGTATATTTTTCGTAAATGAGATCAAGGTAAGTAAGAGTCTGAATTTTTTCCCTCTCTTCAATTTTCTATAACTATACACATAGACCTCTCACAGTCATTCTGGTGGCTATAAAGTATTCTACAATATGGATACACCATTATATATTTAAACATTCCCCTCTTTTTTCATAAATATTTAGTTGTTTCCATTGTGTTATAACAAAAAGGGCTCCAGTAAACATTCTTGTACATATAATTATATATAAAAGTGCCATATAGGTGGAAAAATACTGGTTTTGATTTCTAACTGGTCATTAAGTTGGTATGTAGGACCATTAGAATATATATATATATGGGTTTTTTACTTAATGTTTATTTGTTCACTTTATTTATAAATCCCTGAGATTGTGCCTTTATACACTTTTGGTTACTATGACAATGGCATTCTTTGGCAATGTTTAAATGGTACTAAGGTATAAATCGTACTAAGGTATAAATCTATTGTTCTGATCATGAATTTCTTACTCATTTGACTATTATTTATTAAGTATCTGCCACATCCCCAGCACTTTGTTAAGTGCTGGGGTTGAAGAGAGGACTAAGATACAGCCCCTGCCAACAAGAAATTTATAGTAGAGTGGGATTCTTTCTAGGTATTTGAAAACTTATAAATGATTATGTAATTTTTAACATTTATGATCCAGTTGTCCCATGTCATTTAGACAAACATAGATAACATGACTGGTCATCCTTTTTTAACACTAAACACGGCACCTCAATGATTTCATGAGGCCAATTCATCTGAGGTATCTTCCTCCCTCATTTCACCTGCAGAGCGATTCTATAAATAGTATTCATCTTTTTGAATTTACTTCTAATTGTCCTCCCAATTTCCATGGTAAATAAACTGTGAGGAATAGTCATCTGTGAGTGTGAGGTAAAATATTCAGTGTTTTTGTGCTAAGCCTATGCAAATAACACATTTCTGGCCAAAGAGACTTAAATGGAGGTGTTTTGAACCTCAAAGAAGTATTTTGTTTGTCCTAAATAAAAGGACATACATAATTATAGTAGCTCTTCTCTACCCCCACTTCTTCCTGCTTTGAATGTGGACATGATGTCTGGAGCTTCAGCAGCCCTCTTGTGACCAGCTGATGATAAAAATTAATTTTAAGAATTGAAGAATGGAAAGTTAGAAAGTTCCTGGTTTTTTGATAGAACTGTTGAGGACTTGAACAAATGTCAACAGATGACTACCTTCGGATTTCTTATCTTACTATGTGAAAAAAATAAACCCTACATTTTTCGTCTTCTGACAGTTAAGCTTTTTGTCATTTCCTGCTGAATTCATTGGGACTTGATTGGTTTTGGGTAGCAGAGGCTTTTCACATTCATTGTGAATCAATATAATAATCTGGAGCATTTTTGAATGCTTTGTCATTTTCTCACCTATGTTGTTATTTCTACTATCTTTTTCCATAAGGTCATTTTTTTCATGCTGTAATTTAGAAAGTTTGATTTAAGTATTTTCTTGCTTAAATTGAAACTTTAGAAGACTAATTAGGATTTTAATAAATAAGCTTTTTTTTTTTTTCCTTAAGGAAGAAAATTCCTTCTAATGTTATCCATTGATTCACACAGGTCCTATTTGAAGAATGGTGCCAAAACTTAACAGGGCTGTTGCTTTTTCTTTATGGATTCTTGACACATTGCACTTCATCACAAATGTAACCACAATGTTGTTCTGGATAGAATAGCTTTTGCTCCCTCAGTTTGCCCTAATACACTAAATAAAGAACCTACTGGGATGCTTTTCCATGACTTTTGGAGTCAACTTGTCTGCAGAGAATTAGCTTATGTCAACTGTGCTTTGTTATGAATTCCCATGAATTCCAAATTCTGCCTTTCAAAGTGGCATGACACAGCATGGCAGTGGGGCTGCTCTCCCTGAAGACTCACAGCTAAGCAGCCTCCACATGGCCCACCTTACAGAGCCACTTTCCAGTGTTTAAGGAGAGCACCGAATCCTTGTTAGGTCTTTAGTCTGATAGGTCTTTGAAGTCTGCGATAAGCCATGCACAAAAGAGCTGTACTTAGTCAGTCATCAGTTTTGTTTAAATACTACATTTTTTACCTAGCCCAAAGGCCATCTTCAGGTAGCCAAAGAAAATATGTAATGCGGTGTGCTTCTTCATTCACTTAAACATTTCAGTGAACCTTAAAATTCATAGAAAACATGATATACAGAAACATTTGCAAAGGAAATTCAAAATAACCACCACTGGGAAAATGTAATAGTTGTTGAGGGATTATTTTATATTATTTAGTTCATAACAGAATAAAATCTAGCCCTCATTTGTTTATACATAGTAAAATGAGGTAGGACTGACATATTTGGTTATCCTCATTAACTCTAGGCTCATTGAAACTTTTGCACTTTTAATCAAATTCTGTAGTTCTTTAAGATACTTGTGATAATAAAATAGCCAAATTAGGTCTTGATTTGAAAGGCCATTAATTTGTTAAGCTAAGACTTTACTGTTATCGGCACAAACGACATAGTCTATCTTGATAGTTTTCACAACAACATTCCCCTCTCAATATGAAGCTGATTAAAAAACAACTTTACCTGATTTCCTCCCATACCATGACAGTTGAATATACCCACTTTTTCATTTTCCTTGCGGCCCATGTTGTCTAAACATTGATTGGTTTCAACATTTCTTATCTAAAGGAAACACACAGAAAAATGTAAGTCAGATAATGATTTAAGCCAGAAAATCTTTCTGATATTATCAAATTGTATATTAATGGCAAGTGATACAATGTTTATAGCACAGTATCAAAGAAGGAAACATATACGGATTGCAAGTTAGGATTCTTCCGAAAGTCCTTTTTGAATTAGGATGTTTCACTAAATAACCATTGTTTATTCTTGAACTCCTATTAGACCATATGCAAAGAAATAGAAACATATTGGTTAAATATTCAAATTTATGTTTTTTTCAATT